ATGCCAGAGAGCGGCTGCTGGAACGAACCCAGCATACCAAGACCCCTCGATCTTCACCGACCGAGCGGCCTCGGACCTGCAGCTCATGGGAAAAAGCGTTCGGTCGCGCTGGCTTCCTCAATCTCGCGCATTGAGCGTGCCCGCGTCAACGAGGGAAGACACCTGGACGTCTCAAGGTCGTTGTAGCGCTGGCAGCTAGCCGCTCATTGCGCGGTTTTTGAGGATTATCCCTACAGAAAAAGCCGACACAAAACGAGCCCCTGCCGTCACGTGATTTTTGGGAGAGGGTGAAAAGAGGAGGGCGCGAGGGGCATTTTCCTACCTTGCGGAAAATGGTTCCGTTGGTCGGTCTTTAAACCAGACTGACCAGCTTAAAATCTAGCTTGCCCAGCTTAAACCAGCTTGATTGCCAGTTAAACCAGTTTGACTGCCACATTGACCAGATTGACCAGCTTAGTTACCATCTTGGCCAGTTTGATTTTCATGCTGGCTTTTCTAATAGGGTGGTCGCCAGATAAAACTGATAAAAATTCTTAAATTGATTATTGCAATTACCAGAGCTCTAAAAATCGTGTAACTTGGTGTATATACTAGGTAGCTTATGAGCATTCCATTTCAAGAATGATCTATTTGTTTAATCTTCGCGTCATAACCCGTTTATACAAGAAGAGTGGTTGTTTGGGCGAGTTTGTTTGACATCTTCTACAATCTTGTGCGCAACAAAGACGAGGACAAAAGCAGAGAAGAGGACACAACAAGGCGCAACTTTCAACTGAATTTTATTGAAAACTGTTCCGGAACACGTTTTCAATAAAATTCAGTTGAAAGTTGCGCCTTGTTGTGTCCTCTTCTCTACTTTTGTCCTCGTCTTTGTTGCGCACAAGATTGTATAAGAACCCTTTATACAAGTCGATTTCCGCACTATCTGCTATTAAAATGTTATCTAGGAATTTTGCCGGGTATCGCACACTGTAAGTGCTTCGTTAACACTGGCGGTCAATGGTTACAAGAGTTTGCAATGGCTCTGAGCTGCTGGTCACCCTTTAAACACCAGCAGCCATTCCCCTTGACTAAGATTTGCTAATCGGCGCGCTTTCTATATGCGTCGCTTGTAGCGACTAAGCTCTAAACATGATCGATAAATATCGAATGCTTAGTTCTCCACGATTGCAGTCAGCCAAGTGATCATTTCAGCCGATGGCCTTGTTAGTCAACGGTGAAGTAGGCGCTAGCAACGTGTGTTGGATGTGGCTGATAATGTAGGAGCTTATGTAAGTCATGCCGCTCGATCGATGCACCTGGGAAGCCTGAAGCGTTACCTACTTGTTTCTGTGTGAATGGAATTTATGCTTGCAAAAGCTATGCACTGCACGCCGTCATCCGACTGGATGGCAGGATGAATAGATAAACAAGGCTGAATTTTTCATACTGGGCGAACGCTTGCACCTCCTAGTGAATGCTTTAGAGGTAAACGTTCAGCAGCCCTCTGCCCGGTTAGGAATAGAAAGGAAGCGAAGAATAAGGACTCTTACTAAAAGTTTAATAAACAGTAACCCGACGTTTCGAGACCAGTTCGGTCCCTTCTTGTCGGGTGGGTGACTGAAAGAACACGCGTCACTTAAATGCACACACGGATGTATGGGTCTTTTCTGACGTCACGCAGCCCCGAGACGTAGCTGCTGGGCAGGGAGCCCGAAGAACAATTCACGTTCCCCTTTGTGATTTGGATGAACGAAGGCTCAGCGAAAAGGCCTCTTTTGCCAATTCCTCTCCAAGGCCATCACGGTGCTGCTCTCTAAGGCTACGATGTGGCCGGCTACTTTTGCGTGTTCGGCGAGGGCGCTTGCCTCCATATCCTTCCTCCGTAAGTCATATCTATGTCGTGTGAAGCGCAGTTCACACACTTGCAACTGAGTACGACGGAGAGAGACAAGACCGGTTTTCAAGCCTCTTGCGAGGGGGGAGGACCGGATGCGCTGCTGCGGAGCAGGTCTAACGCCTTTGCAAGGGGCTTAAAAACCGGTCTTGTCTCTCTCGGTATTACTTGGTTGCAAGTGTGTAAATGGCGCTTAACGGCCAATTCACACACTTGCAACCGAGCAGGACCGACTAAGACAAGACCGATTGTTAAGCCTCTTGCGACGGCTTAAGATCGGATGCGCTTTAAGACGTTCTTACTTTCGCCCACGTATGAAGGCTATTTCACACACTTGCGTGAGTCCGACCAAAGGCGACTGCAACTTTAATACTTTTACGGCGCACTATGGCAACGGGGTCCTAAGCCCCTTACACCCGTCATTGGTGCTGCGCGGCGCGGTCGTAAGAGGCTTAAAAACCGGTTGCAGTTGAACTCGGTTGAATTTGATGCAAGTGTGTAAATCGCCCTTGAGTCCGGGAAATCACTGGTATGCGATAGAGTTAGATCAAACCTTGGGCCTTTCCTGTAAAGGGCCGATGCTTCGGGACCGGGAGGCGATGACCGATTGTTGACTCAGGATTAGGAGTCACCGTAATACCGTAGCGATCGAAAACGCTGAAAAGAGTCTCGCTGGTCCGATTGCACACAAATGCAATCGGCGGGGAGAACGCTGTGCCCTACGGGTGGATGTCTTGACTTTTTGAGTATCCGAAGAATAAACTGCTGGAGGTACCCGTTCTTTTGGAGTTCCGATGTTACGATCTTGATTTCCTCTTAGAGACTCTTCTTTGCGGAGCAAGTGCCGAAGGCGCGCCTGCAGAGCGCAGAAGCCACCGACGCTTTACGACATTAGGGATGGTAGGAATCACACCCCAAGTATCTGCAAGTGTGGGTTGGCTTTCTGTCAACAGAAAAACGTAGCTCGCTGCCACTTCTGGTTACCAGTGCATTCAGAAAGGAAAAGGAACCTTTGTCTTCGCGTTTGTCCGTGAATTGTATGACGCACCCACCGAGTTCAGGTGTTTTTGAAGACGATCCACCTCGCTGGTTTTAATGACGCTGAAACAGTCGTCCACGTAATGTAGGAAGGTTCTGTGTTTAGGCTCGAAGGGTGGAGAGACTTCCATTTGATTGCCTCCATTGTGAGGTTTGCCATTGTCACAGATATGTCTACACCCTCGGCTGTGTCACAAATTTGCTTGTAGTATTTCCCGCTAAATAAGAAGTATGTGCTGTTCAGGCAGAGCTCTAGCAGTCGGCAGATCCCCGATAGGCACGTTCTCTCCGAGATTTTTTCATCTGCCGAGAGAGCACTTCTTGCAGCGGATACAGCCAAGTGCAGTGGGATGCTGGTGAACAAAGACACCACGTCAAAAGAGTCGAGGTTCTTGTCATCACCTAGCTCTAAGCCGGAAACAAACTCAATGAACTGACTGGAGTTTTGTACATTCATTGGAGTCTTTCCGGTGAGGGATTAGAGGAGCCTGTGGAGGTAGTTAGAAACGGCGCGCAAAGGTGACGTTGTGAGGTCCACAATAGGTCAAAGAGGTACACCGGCCGGCCTTGTGTATCTTGGGGAAACCGTACAACGCCGAGGAGGATCCCTTCCTCCAGATGAGCGTCATGTGAATGCTGCGGAAGTCTGATTATTTCTGGAAGATGATTACCAGTGTTTTCTTGAGCGTTTTTTGCACCTTTGTTGCAGGATGTCTTGGCCACGGTGTGCAGACACTGATGACAAGAAGCTAAGGCACCTTTTGGTCGTACTTCTCCTTGTCCACGTCAACGGTAGCGTTTCCCCTGTTTGCCTGCAACACTACAATGTTTTTGTTTTCCTTAAGGCGACGCAAAGACTGATTTCCCTCTGCCGAAATGCTAAGAGGTTTCCGCTGAACTGCCTGAGATATGACGCCGATAGCTTTCAACCGGGCTTCTTCGCTTGTAGAAGGGTCCACCCCACAAAGGCCGTCTTTGATGGGCGCAGCCATAAAGGGGGGGGGGGGGGGGGGAGGGGGGAGCTAGCGAGTGCTCTCTGAACGGGAGAGCGCACTCGATGAAGGATGGCACACGTCCCTGGTGTCGACTCCGTGGAGGCTGGAGGCTGAATTTTCCGGCTGAAGTGCTTGTCATCAACAAATCCCCATATATCCGTGTGTGCATTTAAGCGACTTGTGTTCTTTCTATCCCTAACCCTTGAACAAGCGACCGAGCTGGTCTCGAAACGTCGGGTTACTGTTTATTGAACCTTCGATTAAAGTCTTTATTTTTCGCTTAGCGAATGTTTTGCATTTTCAGGGACATATATAGAAAGTTAAGGGTATACCTTTTATTAATATGATAGTAGTTCCAAATTTCTAATCGGTATGAGAGAACCGCCTGCAACAACCGAAAGCCCTCATTTTTTCAGCAGGAATTACGCATAGAAAGGAATATAACAACAAAACAATTAATAATTTTCTGCCCGAGTTGAAGTTGCCGTGATTTTGACAAGAAATATCAATTCTCGACAATGCCCGAGAAAAGCAGGGGTAGGGTGCGTATAGGGGAGGAGGCACATTTCATCTCTTAGGCTGGGTGTATACATTTTTAGTCTATTATGCATCATGGTATAGCTTGCAGTTATGTTAAACAAGTAAACGATAATGACCCTGGAAAGGGAAACAAAAGACGCCCTTCCAAATAACCAAAAATATACTATAAAATAAGAAAGCGACTACAAGAAGTATCAACGGTAACATACAACTGTTGTAGTAATACACTATAATACTATACAACTATAGTCGGTAAAAGGTAAAGAACGAAGTGGAAGCTCCCCGCTCCTCTTTCCACTTTAGTAGAGCGAACGCTGGAGAGGAGGCGAGCTCCTCTCTATCGTTCGCACCACTGAAGTGGAAAGGGGCGGGAGGAGCTTCCACTTCGTTCTTGACCTGTCACCGGCGATAGACTTCTACATAACATAGCTTTCGCTGCGGAAGTTCGGCGCGTTTGACGGAATGCTAGCAGAGGAATAAAGATTTCTTTTACATTTTATTAGAACCATGAAATTAAACCTAATTGTGAATACTCGGTCTGCATGCTCTAGGGCTGGGACGACGTTAGTTTTCACGGGTCTCCTCAAATACCGACGCCTAATATGGATGCATTAGCCGCTGACGGGATCATTCTCAACCAGCACTACGCCCAAGCGTTGTGTACACCGTCCAGGGCAGCATTGATGACTGGGCGCTACCCAATTCACACAGGTAGGCTATATTAATATTTTATGCTCTTTGCTATAGCCTACACAGGTAGGCTATAGAATAATTTATGTTCTTTGCTCTGGCACCGAAGGCCCCAGAGCGAAGAACAAAAGAACAAGGAACAGAGCAAAGAAGTCTGTGAAACAACGGGGTAGAAGCCAGTTTTGGTGCCTGGAACGCGTTTCCGACTGGTGTGTTTACCGCGTCCGAAAAAATGATCCCTCAATTTCCGCCGGATGACGTCAAAGAAGCGTCATGCTGTCGCCGGTCGCGATCCTGGCGGTGTCCCAGCAGCGGTGCACTCCAAGAAAAAATGGAGGAAAAGTAGCAACGGCGCGTCTTCCTCCCTTCTACTGACGCGCCCCCAAGCGGACACGAGAAGAGGGGAGGAACGAAACGTTTTTCTCTCTCTAGGCAGACGGGAGAAAGCTTTTGCCCTCCCGACTCATCTTCTTTCGGTTTCGTTTTTCGAGCAGGTCGCGCACGTTGTTTAATAAATAGCTGTTGAGTTGATTGAGCTTCAGCGGCAGCGATGGCCACCCGTAATCCCGTCTTCTAGTCTAAACGTGCAGAACATTTCGGTTGCATTGACGTTTTTATCACTAATTTTATCAAACGGGCAAACGAAGCCACTAGAAACAGCGAAGCTCCGGAGCAGTGCCAGCAGCGCCACGTACACTGGGGGATGGCCGTCTCCGGATTCCGGGACTCGCGCGGCACGGAACTACAGTAGCGAAACCACGCGGAACTGTGCCGACATTTTCGACGTTATGGGAACCGCAGGAACTGCGTCCAAGACAGGCAGGTATTGCTGCCGGCTGCCTGGGTGCCTTCCGTGCTGAATTCGGTTCTGTTTTCCTATGCCCAGTGCAACCGGCGTTCAACGTGGTTTTATATTTGTGCGTGTCAGCAACATAGCTGCAACATCGTGATGGCAGTGTTGTGGGTTGTTAACAGAAGACTGGAATTTTCGCCGATGTGACCGTGTGTTCGCGTATCAGTGGTGTAACAAGAAGATGAGATCGTAAACTGTCGGGCATTGATGCCGCTGGTCGGGCCGTGATTGGAGGGGGCGGGGTGTCGCAGGTTGACATTCCGCTTTACATTAAAAAGTTTAATACCACTTCAGGGATCACGTGCAATCGATCAACGTGCGGAAAGTAATGTTGGAACGCTGGTCTGAACAGTGTAAGCTACTATCGTCCAGTGGTCAATGTGACTATCGGAATTGTCTTGTCCGCGAGAGCGATTGCACTCTGGGGCAAGGACAACATTACGAAATCGTGACGGAAAGTGCGTATATTTACAGTGTGGAATTTTAGCATTAAAAAACAATAGTAGGTAAAATCGTAAAAAAAAAGCTACCCTTTATTTTGCTGTTTAAATATACTACGGTTCCTGGAGAAACTGCCCTCCAAGTGGCGCGCTGGGATGCGCGCTAGAAGTTTTCGGGCTCGCCACGGCGTAGCTCCGTACACTTAACACCTGCCGCAAGTCGAGGCTTTGACTGCATTCAAGTTGATCGAAAAGCGATTTCTCAGCCCGTGAAGCATCACCTCCAGCTGAGTGAATATCCGCTCTACAGAGATTAATTCAAGACGGCAATTGCAGCTTTGCGCGAACAGCACAAATAGAAAAACAAACACTATAATAGAAATACAGGCTACAACGCGACGTGCAGGGAAACAAACTCCTGGCTTCGAACCGCATTGGAGCGGCTTGATTTATTGGCTTTCAAATAATTACGGCATTATCGAGCGTTTGCTTTTTAATAAGGGATTCATCCCCTGAGCCATTCAAAATACTTTTAGAGGTATGACATTGCTGGAAAAAAATCAACATGCTGGGAATATTTTTTATTGCTTATTCAGTCACCGAGAAAATCCGTTTTTTCAAAACGACCAGTATAAAAAACGGAAACGCAGAGCACAGGTGTAGTGTTCGGGTTAGTGTGGTGTTTCGTTGTATTGATATTTGTTTGTGCTGTGTATGTGCTCAATGATTGTTCACCTGATGCTTCTAATAAGCGTAATGTGTGTATAGCAGAGGATCCTCAAGCGCAATAGCAACGAGGTAGAGGGGCTTAGAGTGATAAACCGGAAGTTCGGAAGTGGCACCCCCCGGTTGCCGCCATATTTTACGCAAATGTGACCACTCGTCACGTGACCTCCCAAGAGCCGTGACGTCACACGTAAGATGGCAGCGCCCAGAGCTGGCGGATGCGAGTTTGTTCTGTGCGCGGTAGCCGTGATGTGCAGCTGCTTTCCGACGACTTCGGGCTTCTTCGTGCTCGCTGACGCAGGTATAATGTGAAAATATGAAGGAATGAGACTTTATACCGTTTTTGCGCAAGATCGCTCTGGATCATCTGGATATTAACGCCTGTGAGACAGCATCAGCTCTGCATCGCCGTACCGGTGCTTGGATTCCGGGATGTGTCCGAGGATCGATTGAACTTTGAGTGCTTTTAACATGAAATTTTCGCATTCTCTTAGCTTTGTTTGAACGTTGAATTATCTAAGGCTCTACGCGAAATGTATACGTCGCGTTAGGGCCTAAGGGAAGTTGTTTCAGCCCTTCGTCACCGAACAACCATAGCAACTTTTAGCGAGGAAGCTCCTGCGATTTTAACCTTTTGTGCTAATCCACGATTCTACATTCGATCGCTTTTCTTCCTTTCTTTTTTTGTGTGTGTGTGTGAGTGCGAAGTGCACCCTTATTTTCAGCTACGAGGTTGGCGTTTTATTGAGTATGGGGAAGAATAAATCGTTGCAGGCACCTGCTTCAAAGCTATTCGACTTGCTATAAGAACAACTGTTTTGGTGCATGCATAGATTAACTGCGCATTTTTTCTGTTTTGTAGGATTTATTGCAGCTATACTCTTTTCCATCAAGAGTGCATTGTATTAGTCGGTCAATTATTTAAGTGTTCTAATTACCTGGATAAGATGATTCATATTTGTGTTCATCCCTTGCCTGGAGAGTAGTCTTGTTGAAAAATGTTGACTACCATTCCTTTCGGTCTCTTCAATAGACTCTTTTTAAAAGTGTGGGCTGTTAATACTTCGCATCACCGTAACTTGGAAAAGGCCAACCGCCACAGCCCCCTCGAGCTAATCAGAGAGACGGAGCGAAGGTGCGTGACAAATCTGTGCAGACGAGCACTCTGGTGATATGCTGTCATGTGCCTTTCTCCAATGTGCGTATTGACTCACCGAGACCGTAGCCTTTGCCGTCTGCCAAATTCTGATAAAACAAATTACAGTAGCTAATACTGTAATTACCCCAGGCTTTCATACTTTGGGTATTTGTTCGACAAGAATGTTATGTCCGCCATCCCTGTGAATTCGGCTCAGCACCTATTGGACTCGAATGCTGCATTGGCGTTCGACGTGAACTGGGGCCCATTCGTGTGCTTTGCGCCGAAAAAAATGGTGACGGTTGTGTTGCTTGATAAGGTTCTGCAAAGGGTCTATTGTGTCATACATATAGGAAGTGTCATGCTATATAACAATGCATCAACACATACTATTAAACTATATGCTCAGAGGTGTGTTTGTTTTTCCAATTAACAAGTTACAGCAGTGTGCTTTAATGCTATTATCATGTGTGTAGTTTTAAGTATCCTCTCTGCAATGCCTACGAAGGCCCCTGGAAGGAATAAATTAATAAATAACATTTTCACACCACTGGAGTTGGTTTTCGGATGCACCACATGTTCAGGAAAGGTTGATTGAGTGCAGCCCCTTGCAAGAAGTCTGCCAGTCTGTTATGACCCCTTAATTAATATTGAAGGGTCAGAGAGGCGAGTGTCCTCGTAAGGTCCAGAGCGTGCAATGGACACAATTCTCGGTGTGTCGACTCTCAAGGCATGAAGGCAAGCGGAAATATGTTTATCTGGTTAGTGTATCAAATATGTTTATTTCCACTTGATTACAAAATTATTGATTCTTAGTAAATGGTTCCATAACAAGTTCTTTCTGCGACAGTCTCGTGTCAGGCGTTCAGTCGTAGTACCTGTGTACCTTGTTGTCGGATGACGCTCCTGGCACGTCGGTGTTCAGTTTGGTCGAGTGGCAACTTTGACCGACTGATGCTGTCTTGTAATCATACGTCATGTGCACTGAAGCTGCAGGACTGGCTTCTAATCCGAAAATTTTCCTGGTAGTTTTCGGCATCAATGTAGCAAGTTCGGGCATGTATTGCTTACGTGGCTGTGCCTTTTGCTGTACCGTTGACTTGAAAGCTGGCAACAATTTTTGTTTGCTATCCAAGTCTGGTGATGCTTGCAGTTCACTTTTGAGAGCAACCAACCATTCTATTCCTTCAAGTCACTCAGGGGCATTCTCCCTCAAAGTTGGAAATTGTGTGCTTCGTGGAGTGGACACAGAAAATTGGTGTCAGCAAATTTTTAGGTATTGTCCTTGGACGACAACCGACACCAAATCCACTGTCACTGCATCGCCGCTCACCTGCTTTGTCGTGCTTACCTCTTGTTGAGGTGATGGACATGAGGAGCTTTGGGGTAATCAGGGATTCAGAATCTTCGATTCAGCACCTTCGGCATCAGGGACAAAGGTCGCCGAAGGTAATCCTTAATCTCCCGTGGTCGCTCCTCGAGACGTAATCGAGGGTCGTTTGGCACGAACCCTCGCCGACCAATTCATTGGTACGGGCTGCTTTGGTAGACATGGTAGGCTTCATGCAGTGGTAGCAAAGTGGTTTTCGGTCGCACATTCGCATCACCTACGTTTTCCTCGGTGTACTTTGTTGAGCACAGTCCTACACACAATGTCGGGAATGCTTCAGCGTTAGAGTGTCTCATTGAATTGGCATTGAATACTAAGGGGCAGCCGGTGGCGGTCGTCGTGCCATTGTGGCGTAAGTTGCCCTTGGTTTGTCAGATGCCGCTTCGCTCGCAGAAGTCTCGGTTGAAATACCTGTCAAACTTGTTCCGAAACAATCTCGGCAATCAAAATAAAAGCCGGGCAACTGATGGCAGGAAGTAGCTTCCTAATCTCCTCCCAGACAACGTCGTGGGTGATGTCGTGGTTGCCTGGGAGGCTGGTGTCGAAGTAGTAGCTGGACAACTCGAGTGTCGAGACGCCGGGAAGCTGTTCATAGTGGCAGGCTCGGGCATGCAGTGCACATTCCATGTTTGAAGCCTCAGTGATATGAACACTTCGACTTTTGTGGGGGGATGCGGACAAGGCTGCTGAAGGTGTTGTCCCTCACGTGAGGCGCATGGGATTCTTAGGTTCTTGTCTTCTGTAGCATCAAGGTCGGCGTGGGCGTGGGTGCTCGATCAAGCGCAAAATATCCTCCACGAGTGCGGTGGCGCTCTCAATGGGGCAGTGTCCTGGACAGAATCAAGAATGCGGCTCTCTTTCGTTGATGTTGGCTGACGGATGCGCGCTTCAGCTTGAGCTTGCAAACTTCCATGACGTTAAGGAGGATCCATGGTTCTCAGACCAGCGCCGGCAGTTGCTTCCACGAGAAGTATAGGTTCTGCAGGAGCTGGTTGTCTGTCCACCCAATGTGGCGGGCGACACTGTCATATTGTTCAATCCAGTCCTTGACGTCTTCATACAGCAGTGCGTGAAAAAGCGTCGGAGTGTGATTTGCGACGGGCATGCAAACAATGGTGGGAGGGGACACGGTTTGCTGCTACAGGTTTGTCATTGTTGGCTTATAATCAGCTTCGGATTTTCTGACAGGAGACCGAATTCCGGTGGTTTTTCTTGGTAGCAGCAACTGGCTCGGATTTCAGGTGCTTCGTGGTGTATTTCCGAGGTTACTCCTTGTGGTACTCGGTCGTCTTGCGGTTGTTCTGCCAGGCTCGGGTCAGGACTTTGCCTACGGCTCGACAGGGGTATAAGACGAAGAATAGTCCGCCAGCCGTGTCCCATTATCGGGTAACTCGGCTAAAGAGCCGCCGGGTTCACACAGAGTGAAGGGCTACAGGTAAAGTGTCCAGTACCTCCACCTGAACATACGATTACAGCTGAGCATGACCTGCAGTGTCCCAGAATAGTGAATATTGATAGAAGATAGGACTGGAACAAGGATCCGTGACAGTATACCAAAACAAGCAGAAGAGAATCTATCCTGACCACTGAAGAAGCTGCATTGCTTTAGTGGCATTCTGTCCGAATAAATCCTCTCCTCCGGGGTTTGGCGACTGCCGTGGACGAACTGAACTGAAATGGATGTGGGACCACTTTTCTGGTAATGAGCCACTGCAGACTGTTGCCACAAAGCGGCGTGAGCTGGGTACGTAACACGCTCGTCGAAATGTCCGGACAGCTTGCAATTCGCGTAACGAGTGTGGATGAAACGTTTGTGTTGACGAAACGTGCGACAGACCAGCGGGATCAATACCAACTGCAACACCTGTGCTCCGTGAAAGTGCACGTCTACGCCGGAACAATTTCGGAAGCAGCACAGCATCACCTAAAGCACGGCACGGGAACTACCAGCTTCAAGGCAGCCTTCCGGTGCGCCGCACAACCGAAGTGAGCCCTCGGTCATTTGATCGAAGCTGCACCGCGATTGTACACCGCCAAGCACGACTCAGGCAATTTCCGTCGCTAAACTGTGTATCCAAATATATTGCACACGCTTCACTGCAAACCTCGAAGATTCCGATGGTCAACGAGAGCACAGAAACGTCGCCTTAAATTTTATCCTAGCGGTATCCGAATCAATCGGAGGTCCGAGCAACGTAGGTCAGATTGTCTCTTCCGTGGCAATATCCCGGTCGGTCACCAGCGAAATGCACACCGTTTCTCCGTATTTTCACGTTATACCTACGTCAAACACCACGCTGAACTCGGAACTCGCTTTCGACCGGCCTCATATGACGGCTTCCGCGTCTGAAATCAACTCGCCGAGACGAACGACAATCAACAAAGCATCCGACAAGCTCCGGCCCAGCTGGGGCCAGCCGCTGCATGGGCGCTGCCATCTTTCCTGTGACGTCACGCATTTGGTTTGGTCATGTGACGTGTGGTCAAATTTGCGTACAATGGCAGCCTCCTTATGGGGGTCACTTTCGAGTGCAGACCGGAACCCCGGTTTATCGCTCTAAGCCCCTCTACCTCGTTGCGCAATAGTGGCCTGAGAAAATCGAATTACTTTTTTGTAGAACATGAATTGGGCGGTACCTAGCGCCACCTAGCCTAGCTACTTGCAATTACTCTGCTTGGCCCCGCCATCTGGTGGCTAGCGATTTAACCTTCTTTAACGATACGCGATAAACAGCGGCTTCGAGTTCGTTCTTTCGAGAGCGGCTTTTGGTTTTGCGGATTGAGTTTCCGCTTCTCCGTGATGTGCGCTAGACGAAGGAATTGTGACTGGAGGAACACCAAAGGTAAGACGTAAAGTGCGCGAAGTAACTGGGTATCGGTTGTCTCCGTTTAACATCGCAGTGCTGTCAACGAGAATACTGAGTACCTGCTTTTGAAACGCAAGTTTGTGTACCTGTGGAGGGAATCTGGCTTCGGAAATAAACACAGTTCGCGGAAAGCTCGTGTTACGCTTTTATTCGCTGCTCCTCTCGTCCCATACAAGAGACGTAGCGTCCTCGTCAAGCCTTATTGGGCTCGATTTGCTCGATTCGGGGCCGCCATATTGAGACGCAAGCGACGGAGGAACTTTGCTCCCCTGCTTCAGGGACGAAAGTTTCTCCCTTTCTAAAGGAACATAGGTTACAAGACCGGTCCTCCACTAAGGGAGGACTAGCCATGCCCTTTTTTCTAAGAGTGTGGTGAATGCGGCAGTCGCCTGTTCTGCTGCACGTCGCTTTCCGATGTGACAGTCTACAGAAGCTTCGGCTGCCAGAAGTTCGGACGCCGTCACGATAGCGACGCTCGCGTTCGCTTGTGCTTTTCGCCAGCATTTCTACGACGAACCGCCAGGATCGCGACATGCAACAGTATGACACTCCGGTTTCTGTGCCGCCATTTGTTGCGACTTCGTATAGACTTTTCCCACAAGTAAGCGACCCCTACTAGTATCCGGCGTCGAGCTCAGCCATATACCGCGACTGCGCGTATATAGGCCCATACGCGCAATCGCGTTTGAGCGTGGCGCGTTCCGTAGCGGCAAGCGGACGCGTTGCGTTGCGAAGACCGCTTGCGCCAAACTTGTACGCACAGTTGTGTTGACCCGCAGTCAGCCGCAGTCAAGAGCCAATAAGAACGTGCCATCGTCGCTAGTGGCTCACCAAAATAGTAAGCGAAATCCAAGGCAACGTGGCGGCGCACAGCGACAGCGTCGAAGTGTTCGTTCTTGGGACAATCTCGCCGGCTTCCCCGACGTTTTGTCAAGCTTGAACCATCGCAGCCTTGGAAAATACAGTCCCCACCGCTCCCCAAAACGAAAAAGCAAGCACTGCGACCGGCGAACCGGATACGTCTCGCCTAGTCGGCCGGGTGGGGCGAGCGAACACGTCACCCCCCATCCTCTTTCTGCTACTTATTGGTCGAACGCACCCGAACGCATCGCAATGCTTCGGAAAGTTGAGCGAGTCTCTACTCGCTTGCCTCGCGCTACCGAGCGTTGCGGGAAGGCGCGCGTCGCTCCGCAAGCGACCGCGCCTGGCCGCAAGGACTCCGCAACGCACTCAAACGCGTTCAAACGCGAATGTGCGTATCGACCTTAAGAACTCTCGTGCGAAGTCCGAGCGAGGCACAGAACACCGAGGCCGCTCCCACAGATCAAGTTACACGGAGCCGGCTGTTACCGGGCGGGACCTCCGCAGAGCAGACTCTCTCAACCTACGGCGCAGCGTGCGTCTCGCTGCACCGCAATGCCTGTGTGGCGACAGAAGAACGGAACCTCAGCCTGTGTGGACACCCCAATCGCACTAAGTATTTTTTATCTTCGTTTACCAATGTGAGTAGTCTCTTTCGACCATCCGATCTGGACCAAGAACAAGAAAGATAACATTCGGGACCATTTTTGATGTATGAGTAGCATAGGACGCTAAACACACCAGCTGGAGACGCGCTCCAGGCACCATAACTCCAGTGCCGCGTCGAATTTCTGCCGCTCTCTTATTCTCATATAGACCAACACGCGGCTCGGATGTTCCGTCGCTGCGGCGGCGCTGCTGTCGGCACGGCGCACGCGCAATCGCGTCACTTCACGCGAATCGTAGTTTCTACGGCCATGCAGTGGCCCTCCCTTAGACAAACTAGGGCTTGTTTGGAAACTGCGTGTTTAATTCGTAAGAAAACAATATTCGTGAATTGCTTTTTGACGCATCTAGGGCTGTTTTGTTCAGGTCCATTTCACTTTTCGATAACTTAATACTCATTTTATCAATATCGTAAATGCGAATTGCTATCTTAACTCCGTCGTTCCATGCTTCGTTTTTTCATATATGTAATTTTTATATGAAAAAAACTCTTCCCGTAAGTTTTTTTTTTCCATGAAACTGAAGGGAACACATTTACCGATCCAATAATAGTTTTTATCTAAACGATAACGGATTGCAGGACACATGAACGCGTATTGTTAATGTTAGCATTTTTATGAACAGGGATGCAGCATTTTGTAATTCAGCCTGGTGAGCCTTGGGGTCTTCCACTGGAGTATAGGCTGATGCCAGAGTTCTTCAGGGATCTGGGCTACAAGACACATATGGTTGGAAAGGTAATTCTTTTTCTCTGTGAATCATACCCGTGAATTGATCGTGATTGTATTATACAATGAACATAAAATACCTTATTGAAAAAGCAACTGGATTTAGAAATAGGCTATTGAAATATGTAATTAGAATGTTCACTCTGCACAACCAAATTAAATCTCTTTTTATACATAAATAGATAAAAGAAACGATGAATTAAAAAAATATTTCGCGTGTTTCAACATGAATTAACAAGAAATATGAAATTATATTAATTGCAATTGCTTTCAATGAAGCTTGCACTACAGCAGCTGATGATGCATTTAATGTTATTCACTCTAATTATATTTACTCCCCAACTTTTTAAACAGTGGCACCTTGGCTCCTTCACGAAGGACTTTATTCCAGTGAGACGGGGATTTGACTCCTTTTATGGATTTTACAACGCTGATCAAGACTATTATAACAAGACCTTAACTGAGGTACCCAGCAAAAGTTTCAAATCTGGGAGCAGTGGGTCGTAGGGTGGCAATTTTAAGTTTTGAGAGTATTCATGGTCTGGACATTGGGAAAACCTTTTGTGTAAATGGTCGAATTTAACGTTGTGCTAAACATATTTTATGTTGGTATTTACAGATTGAAATCTGTATGTAAAATTTGTCTGGATGTACAAGGGTGTCAGCTCAAAGGTCTACATTAGCGTATCGTTTGATGCATAGCATATGATACGGCAAGTGCCAAAAAATGCTGTCTGTAGTTACTGTTTTAAATTTATGTAGAAGCTGGCATTCTGAGACCATGCATTTTGTCACTTCAAGCTATGTGTGGGCTCAAAAATATTAAAACAAGTTAAAAAGTGAAAATTGCGTTAAAAAGTGGGCGAAAATTTACAAAACGTATTAAACATAATTATCTATATTTTATTTCGGAATGTAAACAAAATATAAATAAATAGTATAGACCATTTTAAAGTTTCAAGACAAAGGCAGGTTTAATGTGTAATTCCAATCTTAATGTAAGACGCAAAAAAACGGACGAATTTGTTTGCAAAGACATGTCGGTATTTTTTACAACGTAGTAGGTTATAAATGCTCAATATAATTTTAAGTATTTTCTTACTACCATATTATGCTATGAAAGTACAAAAATATGTTACTAATTGTTTGGATCAAGCACGAATCAGATATTATCAACGATAATCGTTAAAACGATTTTTCCACGGTATACGCCACAATATGTAAAGACATTGAAGACGATAACTATACTCGTTTGTACATCAAGCACAACAGTAAAAAACGTTCGTCTCCTCGCGGAGGATTACTAATTCCTTAGTGTAGAGACTTATGTAGATGCATTTGTGATTTATGTAGATGCATTTTAAATTAGATACATGCTACCATACCAAGACGTACTCGTTTTAAACGCCAAAAGCATCGCTACTTCCTACGATAACCAAATCTTGTAAGGACCACATCGCGTGGCGTATAAACAGTGCGAAAAGCTTCCTTTTTTTAGGTGTAAACGAGTATAGAAGTAAGAATATACTCCACCGCCGGTAACCCAACTGAAACCAATGTGCAATAGGTAACGTCTTTAGAACCACAGATGCTTTAGTAATGCTCAATACAGAGCATGTTAATATAAAAAGGAAGTGCTATATTATTTATTCAAATTTCAACTACGCAGTTATTTACAATAGGTTAATTCATACAAATTGAGTGACTATACTTCAACCGCTAGAATGCATATACCATTGCAATGTTTCAAAAGCATTTTTCGCGAGGCTTCGTTTACACATATGTAGGATTCCGCGTTTTCTGAATTTATTTTTCTCCAAATTGGGGGGGCGGGGGGGGGGGGGGGGGGGGGTTGGCGTTTATTTATTTCCGAAAACTCGGAGTTTATAGGATTTTTTCTTTTCTGATTCCAAAATCTCCGAGAAACAGGGCTTAATTTCGCAGTGTTTCCTATGAAAAGTAACAAAACTTGAAAGTATAAAACAGAGAGGACGAGGACGGGAACAGGACATCTTTTAACTGTGGCAATTGCGGCTCTGAAAAGTAAATAAGTAATATCCGGGTGTAAACGTATGCTAGACACAGAAGGATAAAACGCGCCTATGTAAGTTAATATATCTCTAGCTAGATTTGGCGTTGGTGACGTTCCCATTGACACTACTAATTTGTCCCACGGCAAAACTTCCACATATTTGTGGCTTCGATAAACGTCAATACCTTAAAAATAAACTCCTGAAGGTAGCCGCTGTGAAGCACGTATGTTTAAAGTTCTTCTGAATTGCGTTCCTAGACCTGACTTCCATCATGTCTATTGGAAGCGCCACGAACCCTCCCTCTTTGTTTGCCTGTAATAGGCTTAGGTTATTGCTCGAAACATTATAAGGCACGTATGTATCCCATCCTATTCCATGCTACCTCGCGGCCGGCGAGGTGGAGTGGTAAAGGATGTAATAAGCATAAGCATAAGCATAATTATAAGCACGTATGTATCCCATCCTATTCCATGCTACCTCGCGGCCGGCGAGGTGGAGTGGTAAAGGATGTAATAGGGAAGCTTCCGCTTCCTTACGAAATTTCCCAATTTTATGTAATCTCTATGGTTCATAGTTTTAACTGTTACAAAAACACAACCTCTCCTTGCTCTTAAAACACAAATGGTATGGCCCAAATTGGAAACCGAAACAAAGGCTTTTGTCGTGACCCGAAAGTTCATTGACATATCGTCCTGAACCTTGTCAATTATCCGAGATTTGGAAGATAATTACTGTGGTGGCATTTTCCCGGGACCATTGACCTTGTGCGCTCATCAAACTTAATTTCAAAATACCTTCTTTATTTAGTTTATATCGGGAGGGTGGGGGGAGAAAATGGCACAACGAAATTCGGAATTTATCGGATAATTCCGATTTGACCAAAACTTTTTCGGAGTTTTTCGAATTTATCCGAAAACACGGAATTCTACACGTATGCTATTTATCAAACTGAAATTTATTAGCGCGCTCTTTGTGATCACTAGTAATTGTCCCCTTTACAGAATGCTTTTGGGAAGATTGCCTTTAAATACTTAGTTCAATAATCAACAACTTTTGTAAGACAAATATAGGGGTTTTGTCGTAAATTACGCACTAAGGCTTTTCCTTTGCAGGGTGAGCATACCGGATACGATTTCTGGTTGAACGAAGACATTCATATATACCCCAATAACCGATACTCAACTCATCACTATACAGAAAGAGCAGTTTCTCTCATAAGGTCTCACAACCCTTCTCAGGTGAGAATTAAGAGATCTCAGCTGATGAATGTTTCATTGGGCTTAAACATTTCTGGGCGTTGTGTTCAAATATATGAAACTACACTTATTCATAGGTTTCATCTAGTTATATCATCACCAATGACTCCCAACCCTATAACCACCAGCTAGAGATATAAATTTTCAAGATTTCCGAAATTTGCCGAAACACACAAATTGTTTGGTTTTTTGAATTTACCGGAATACACCGGTGGGATAGTGAACAAATTAGGCACTTCCTACTTCATTCTCCTTTAAAAATTATTATTAGTTTGCTTTTATTTTTTTTTGTATCCTCGTACTACAGAGTTGATAGCAGAGCGATCACACCGGTAATGATGACGCTGCCTTGCTGATGATAACCACTGAGAAATGCTGTAGCAACGCAACATACATCTTTTATACTGACGCTGCGAAACTTCAGATTACCCTTGCGCAGCGTTTCTGATTTTTTCACTGAATGTTTTGATCCTTTTTATTTAATTGGTGCTACGCCCATGCAATATAGACATTGAGAAACACTATTGGTATACTAGTCAAAAACCTTTCATTTGTAACGCCGAACAGACCTAAATAAAACGCCAAATATTAAGAACGCTCTTTAGAGCATGCAGTCATTCTCGGCTAGAGCTAAGAAAGCGACGACTGCGGTTAAGCATTTTTAATATTGTCAACGAATACTCCTCAGTTGCTCTTTATTCTCTTAAAGACCGATAAGCATAAAGGGGCAAGTGGAGGGCGAAAAATAAAGTGAAAATTACCAAAATTCCAAGGGGATAGGACTCAGATGATAAAAGACATCGTTTGAGATTTCTGGAGTGATAATGATAAATGAAGTCTTGTTTTTTGGCCTTAATACATTCTGCTGTGAGATATAATTCGTTGGCAAGAGCGGCAGGAAGTGGATGCTTTTCGATACAAAATTTAGTTGGTCGGCAGCCATTATTAATCTAGAATGTTTTATTTCTATTCCCGCTTCTCGTATAAATGTTAACTAAAAAGAAAAAAATCCTGAAAGTGTTGCGTTCATAATGCACCCTTTATACACTAAATAAATATTATTTCATATGTTACGTCTTACTGCGAATGTGATTGAAACTGGTTCAGAAATAATCACATCTCGTATATTTTAGTGCCGAATTTATCTAGGTACTGAATGAATTCAAACACAAAATAGGGTCATGATAGCTACATATAAATAAAATAGTAATATGCTGTCTTTTTGTTTTTTTGGTTGGGGGGGGGGGGGCAGATGCGTGTATTTTTTAAAAAAAGAAGCTGAGAACGTTAAATACCAAATTTATTTGTCGGAATAGAGCAGTAAAACGTCATATGTTTGAACGCGGCTCTAACCAAATTCCCCTTCCCATTGCGACCGAGGGAGTCTCCATTTACCGTTAAACCTTCTTCTGCATTGTATGTGTCGAGAAACTGAAGGAGAAGGGGTGATGAGAGCGCGCAGGGACATCAAAACGCCGAGCTTTGGCTATGACGGTTGGTGGGTATCGCGAAGCTAGCTGGCTTTGTATCTACTTACTCTTGGGTTGTGTGTGTGTGTTTATACAGCCTAGAACTTGGTCTGCCTCAGAGGGGCGACGAGTCTCCCAGCTGTACATGAGAAATTTAGCCAGTGCGGTACAGCCGCTAGCCTGGGGTCTTTAACGTGCATCACGCAGTAGTGATACACGACCGCACGCCGGTACGATGCTCATCCGAATCGAAACGGGCAGGGGTGGGGCTCGAGCCCAGGATCCCTGGGTTCTGCAGCGCGAGCTTTCGCTCTACGTGCTCCGAGCTGGTGTGCGCTAGACCACTCGGCCACCGATCCCCCCTCTACTTACTCTTCGAACGCGTTCCATTGCGAACGCGGAAAGCTGAACGCCGCAGTTTGGTGATGGAACACGTTCAAAGTGTGAGTAGAGACAGAGACAGCTAGCTTGCTTCAGCTCACTGGTAATCATTCCAACCAGAGCTCGGAGTTTTCACTTCCCGGCGCTCTCTCATTACCCCTTCTCCTTCAGTTTCTCGTCGCATTGAATCGCTTGTGTTTTGAAAAAACGGTTTTCGCATATGAAAACTATTGCCCCGAAACATGCGAGTCAACCACGCAATAGTAAAGAAAAAAAAGTGTGGTAAGCTGGGCGAGTGATTAAAGGAAAAGTTTAAAGATTAAGACCTGTCCCCCCCAGCTCTTTTTTTTTTAGTTATGGGCAATGGACAATTCATTGAGATTTTGTTTTAGCTAAAAGCGGAACCCACAAGTAATTTTAGAAATACATACTGGAATCGCTTGTTACCGAAGTGACAGAGCATGTGTTTGGTTTTTTTAGTAAAGTACACATGTGTTCGTAATTCTACGCAGGCGCCATGTATGTATAGGGCTACTCAGAAATGGCCTGGTTTATTTACAAGTCCCCAGTTTTCTTCATATATACATAAAAAAAAAACAACCTAGAGATGTAGGGCCGTGAGCATCAAACAATAACTGTCCTGGTACAGGTCTTACACATTGGAGGAATTCCCCACGCCCACATGTTGTGTTACACGACGCACAACAGAATTGTTACTTGCCCATTAGCCTAAAACACGAGAATTAGTATTATTATTAATAATTGTCCTTACAATAGTTTGGCAAAAATATAATAATAAAAGGAACAACGAGAAATTGATCACAAATTCGAGCGATTAGAAATGTCATCAAAAGCGTCAGCTACAATTCAGCATAAGACGTAAGGATAGGTAATTATACTGTATAAACCACACAACTCTGGCGAGGACTTCATTTTATCGAATTTTGTTAGATACAATTATTACGAAAAGAATTGATCACGCAGTTACTATCTCATGTGAAGGAATATATGGTACAAGATATATTCCAAATCGCAAAATTTTGTGCCTAGGAAATAATGCAAAATTCTCTCTTTCCCACCATTCTTTAAATATCGAGACCGAGAAAATAAAGTTCACTGTTATATGCCCTTTGTTGAACCTTTTTAATTATCAAAATAAGTAAGTATGGTATCATATATGTAGTATATTCAACTTCATTTTATTTTTCGCAGCCACTCTTCTTATATCTTAGTTACCAGGCGCCACACGTTGGCACGGGGCCATCGCTTCTTGAAGCGCCGGACGAAAATGTGAATAAATTTCTCTACATCCCGGAGAAAAATAGGACAACATACGCTGGTGCGTACTGCTAAACGTATGCCCTAATAGTTCATATCAGTGTTTAAGAAGAAATGTGGTTTATGCACGAAATGAAGACAAAACGCCGGACGATTTATTAGCATTTCTTTTATTTCGGTCAATTGATACCGTTCCTATAGCTGTACGTCCGAGTTATAATATTTGCATATAGACGTAAACAAACGGGGAAAAAGCATACCTGAACCAACTATTGTGATCAGTTGTCATAATTTAAAAAAGAAATAAGAAAATGAGCAAGATTTGAGATGTCAATTAACTATGAGCTGTCCACAAGGTATTCGCAGTACTAAAACCCCATGAAGGTTTGAGAGTGCGGTCCACTATGCGGCGAGAAACTGAGGCAGAGGAGGATACGAAAGCGGACGGGAACGTCAGAACGCCGAGCTCCACTTGAAATTATTAATGGGTATACGTATAGCTGGATGCCTTCGTATCTACCAACGAGGTAGGGGGCCTTAGAGCGATAAACTGGCAGCTGAAAGTGACCCACGATTGTCCGCAGCCATGTTGCACATTTTTTTTTTACCACTAGACGCGCGACCTTATAGTTTTACGTCTAGATCTTGACGAAGTACCGCGCACAAATCATTGCTTATTGATCTTTATTTACAGTACCGGCGAGATAAAATATGTTCCGTTTATTTTAAGTCCAAAGTGTGCTTTTACGACAAAAACTCGGCCATCTTCGCAATGTCTCCGCTAGATGCCGCCAGCCGCGGAGCTGCATTTTGGTTTTTTTTTATCGGAGCTTGACACTGATCTCTGGGGCTAACAATTTTGAAAAAAAAAAAAGAATAGTTCATCATGTTGTTTACTGCCGTCGCAATACAAATCTCGGTTCAGTTTTGCGTAAAAGCCTCGAGATTTGGTACGGTCACGTGTCTAGTGGTCAAAATTGTACAATGTGGCGGCAGCCAAGTGGGGGTTACTTTTGGCTCGTGAGCGGGATACCATTTTATCGATGTAAGCCCCTCTTCCTCGTTGGTGCCTAGTCACTTTTCGAACGCATTCGAACGCGAACACCAAATGCCGGCCTTCGGGAATCGAACGCGTTTGAAGAGTGAGTAGAGACGAAAAACAGCTACCTTTGCGCCTACCCAATCATGATTCGAACCAGAGGTCGGTCTTCTAACGTCTCCGCGTGCACTCGTTTCCTCCTCTCCCCCAGTTTTTCGTCGCATAGTCATTGAAAGAACGAGAACGGCAGAGCGTTTCTTTCGAAGCTTTCAGCACGAGCTTCGTTGCCTTCCGTGGTGCTTTGGTTGCGAGTGCACGCTCCTCGAGGCTCACAATATGACGAAGCATTATCGAAAGTAGGAAGCTCGGACTTGATTTGGAAAAACTGAAGAACCTTCGTATCATTCTCATCAAATTATAACAAAAAAAAAAAATCCAGCATGTTTTGACTATATTTAGCAAACTGTTAGACGCGCAGCATGTGTTGCTAATGGGCTGAGCAGATGCTCAAAGCATGTGTGACGTCGCGTGACGTCATGGGGTCACGGGACACAGTAACGTCACAGAATCACGTGATCTCATCAGGACACGTGTGTCTGTGTAATGCCGGAGTGCAACCCAGCAACGTGACGGTTTTCTAATAGGATTCGGCGGATACAAAACAATAAAAAGACATTCTGCATTAAATGGTATCGCAGCGTTGTCATGTGTCACATTCTATTAAAGGTATGGTGGATGCACTTGACCAGTCAATCGGAACGATCATGGAGGCGCTTCAAGAAGCTGATTTGATCGGCAATACAATCGTGGTGTTCACCTCGGACAACGGCGCCCTGCCGTGGGGTGTCAAGTCGAACCGTGGCTACAACTGGCCCCTGAGGGGGGGCAAGTTCACGCTTTGGGAAGGGGGGCTCCGGACCACCACTTTCATCTGGAGCCCACTGCTCGAGATGAGCCGCCGAGTCTCCAACCAGATGATGCACATCGCCGACTGGCTTCCCACGCTCTACTCCGCAGCTGGTGAGACATTTGGGCTATCCAGATTCTGTGTGCTACTACACTTCGTTTCATTGTAAGTCAGAGCGCAGTCGAAGGTTGGAAGACATACAAACACCAACACACATTGTTAAAGCGGAAATGACCGGGAATTCACCACGTTTTATCGGCTTCCCTGGTGAAAGAACGCAGAGAAGAATGACGAACGCCATGGCGTCGTGCGTTTTGACGCGGTTTGATTGGCGGAAACTGCTCCTAGCGTCGTCTGCGCTCGGACGTGATGTGAAACAAAAGTAAACTCAATTTCAGGAATCTGGAACGTTTACCACGCTCTAAAAAAATGAAATTTCTACAAAGCATTCTGGAGAACGAATAGCTGCAATCTAAGGGGGGTGCTTGGCATATGACTAAGCTGAGGGTATATGTTAGTTCAGGTCTATCAAAACAGCCTACGCTGTGTTACTGGCCATGACGCGTCACCATGCATGCTCAATGGTACAGCGCGAATTAAAAGTTTTGGTGTAGATAATGTTTTCCACCTGGTCAATCGCCGTGCATCCTCCGCAGATCGCAGCCAATGGTTCTTCCAATTGTGCTTTGCGAGAAAGTAGATGCTCCATATTTCTTAGAGTGCAACCACTGACATCTCAAGTAGTTCAGGAGCTGAAAACAGCGCAAAAAACGGCGGACCGGATGAAAGTAGACACAGACAGAACGCTGTTTTACCATGAAACATGACTAAACAGAAAACAATTAAAGGGGCCCAGTGTACTAGAAATAAATGCTAAAGTTGAAGCTTGGGCAAGTTGTTACGGCATACTTCAAGATATGAAAACAGCGCAAGAAACGACGGTTTGGATGAAGGTGGACACAGGCAGAACGCTGCGTCCGACTTTTTTTGCGGTGTTTTTATCTTCTGAAGTATGTCGTACCAACTTGCCCAGGCTTCAACTTCAGCATCTGAAGTAGTGCAGGGCATTGTACTAATTAAGTATAAAGCAGGACATTGACCTCGGCGACAACGCGTGCTTGCTTAGTACGTTGAGCGCGGGGTGAGGGTGGTGTATCCAATCCCGTTGAGTTGTGGTCGAGCATACGTCGAACAGACGGACCGTTATGTCAACGACCGAGCGCGCCAGTACGCTCTGTCGCTGAGATCAACTGTGGGGGGAGGGGGGGACCTTCATTAAAAAAAAAAAAAAAAAACAGCTCGAATACCACACGGTATTCGCGCTGTGTGACTTGCATGTGTAAGTGAAACTTGTCCATATCACGATTCTGGGGAAAGGGGCTGGTAAAACTGCAAGAAAATTGACGGAAGCGTTTGAGATAGGAATAGAAGGCGCAACATGGGGGGGGGGGGGGGGGGGGGGGGCGTCAGTCAAACTTCAGTTTGTTTACATAAGATGAGGTAGCCTTTTTGAAGCGCATGTCGATGAGATAGTGATGTTGATGGTTAGTTTGATGTTTTTCCTTTTTTAAATAATCTGTTGAAGTCCCGCGCTTGTCCCGTCTGCACCTTCCTGGTCTTTGTTTTTTTAATATGTGTGCGCCGTTTTAGGTTTTGAATTGCAGCAGACAGCAACCAGTTTAAATTGATATCCGGCCATGCATTCCAACAGGTGAAAATGGGCGTATATTTCTTTGCGCTTGATAACAGAGCAAATATCACGAAAAATTCTAACGTAATAAATAACTTGCAGTGATGGAAGTGCTGCACCACTTGCGCCAAATTGCGCCATGGACGAAAGTTTGCTACATCTTGCGACAAAGTGTCATCTTTGCTACGAATTGTGCCACATCTGCGTAGATGGGCTTAAGCATCGTAAAAGTCAGCGGAAAAAAATTATACAAAAAATTAGAGACGTTTACAAATCTCTGTAACGCGAAATTAGAGTGCAGCTCTTGAGGAGGAGGAGGAAAGGGTAGGGAAGGAAGGGTATGCCCCTCTTCATCCTCTGTGCCCTCTAGTCTTTTCCTCCTTCTCTCCTTTTCTCCTCTTTTTTTCTCTCCCCTCCTGCTCCTCTTCTTTCTCTTCTCCGTACCTTCCCTCCTCCTCCTACACATGTGACGTCAATTTTCCCGCCAAATGTAGCGAAGAAACTGAAATTTTTCATAGGTGACGTGACAACAAGACACCAAATCATTTGACGCCATTTTCCTCGATGAATTTAGCGGGAAAACTGAATTGTTGTTGAGGTCACGTGACGTCAATTTTGCCGCTACATCTAGCGAAAAAATTTAATTTGTTCATAGATGACGTGACACCAAGTCATGTGACGTCATTTCCCCATTAAATTTAGTGGGGATGCTGAATTGCTGTTAAGGTCACGTGATATCAATTTTCCCGCTAAATTTAACGGGAAATCAAATTGTTGTTTGCGTCACGTGACGTCAATTTTCCCGTCAAATCTAGCGTAGAAACTGAATTTGTCATAGGCGACACCAAGTTCCCCCCCATGTGGCGTCACTTTCCCCACTAAATTTAGCGGGTAAACTGAGTTGGTGTTGAGGTCCCGTGACGTAAATTTTACCGCTAAGCTTAACGGGGAATTGAATTGCTGATCAGGTCAAGTGACGTCAATTTTCTCGCTAAATCTAGCGGAGAAACAGAATTTATTCATAGGTGACGTAACACCAAGTGTGACGTCATTTCTCCCGCTAAATTTAGCGGGGAATTGAATTAGTGTTGGAGAAACGTGACGTCATTTTTTCCGCTAAATTTAGTGCGGTTACGTCGATGCCGACGGTGACGCCGACGCCGCGAAACTCAGAAACGGGTCCCTAAGAGCTGCGCTCTAATCGGCGTTCTACAGCGTCTCTGCTTACCGTATAGTTGGTTTCATTTAGCTAAGAGCACAGTCGAAGGCCCGAACACATACAACATTGAAAACAAACTAAAAGCGCAAGTTACAAGACATTCTCTGCGCTTGATTTAGTGAATGAACGAGAACACGCACATGAGGATGGACGAAGCCATGATTTTGCGCTTTGACGCTGTTTGGTTGCTCCCTTTGGCTGATAACGGCAGCTGCTCTGATAATTAAGATGAAACCACGCATAGAGGCTTCTCGTCAACCGCGGTAACCTAATTATACGCCGGCGGGTTGATCGCCGACATAGTCTAAATTTCCAGACGATGTCGGTGGGAGACGCTGCGAGCTGCCTGAGATTAGAGTTCCTGTATAGGCTCCCTACGGGAGCCAGAGTTGCGCGTTCACCCCTGGAGCGCCGGCTTTCCTGCACGGCATGCGGAGTCTGGTCCTCACGTGGCTGAATTCGGCGAATAGCGGCGCCGCGCATTCGAGGCGCGAGGCGCGCTCAAAAGCAGGGGAACGTAGAGTAACTGTATATGCTCCACTTGCGGGGCAGAGTACCGCAATGGTGCCATTCTGGAGCCAAGCACTGCGGGAAGCCATGTTCGGATTTTGCAGGGGCACGGAGGCGCAGACGCGAGGCGCCGCGCTGCGGAAGGAAAATAGTGCGGCGTGCGGCGACGAGCCGCCCATATGTCGTGATCGTTGTCCCGCCGTTTCCTGTCTCCCTCTCGCAAAAAGCGCACCCACGTACGCACCCGCGGGTCGCGTGTGAAGTAAAGTCAAGTCGCTGTTGCTGGGACGCAGATAGCGTCGTGAGCCCGCTGTCTGCCTAACTTTCGGAGGACCTTTCCCCTCGAGCGAGCGCAAGAAGCAAAAGAACGCAGGCTTCCTTATTTTCCTCTCCTGTTTAATCGAAAAGCAAGTGTTTTTTGTGTTTTTTTCAGCAGGCAGTTTACTTGATATGATGTAGACGGAACAGTGCTTTACCTTCTTCTGTTCCAATTATATGCGAATCTGGGGAATGTCGAGCACCACGGTGCTCCAAAATTTGGGAGATGCCGCAAGGCGCAAACTGTCTAATATATATATAAAAAAGTCCACCGACGTTCCACTTTCATTGCGGATAAGTCTTTGAAAACACAGTCTAATTCGTTGCTGGTGCAAAAATGATGCCGAGATTGACTGTTTTCCTATTGACCAGCATATTCCGCCCCTTGAATAGGGCAGTAGAGCTCTGTCTACTTTCAGTGTGTGACACCAACCTGCATCTCGCTTTCTCTTGTAGTATTTTGAACATTTTTCTGAACCCCTTAAACGGTTTTACTGCCACCGACACGGTCCCTTGAAGAAATTGCGAATAGGCGCAGCACTAACAGTCTCTAAAACATGTTTATTGCCACAACTGCCTGCAGAAATCTTTTGGGGTATTGTAAAAGGGCAGACAATGATTAAAAATGATCTTCCCATACGAAAAAGCCAGACGAGGCGGCGTCTCACATCGTGTCTCCCCGTCGGAATCCGATACAAGCTCTTGCCGCTGTCTGCGCGATTTGTTCATTTGGTAACACTACAGCCTGCCATTTTCACGGGGCTTTTTCTACGCGCGTGCAAACTTCAATGCGGTAAACGACGCAGCGGTTGACGAAAACGCTGTCCCCCCGCTTTCAAACGAGAGCTCCCCGACTCGCCAAGATGGCCGGATGTGCCGGTCGCGTATCGGTATCGCGTATCACTCCGCGAGAGCCGCAAACGCGGGGAACGCGATCGTCGTCCGTGTTGTCTGCTTCACATACCCTGAAATCGAATGTCTCAAAACATCGCTCGCGTTATAAAAAACGGGATTGTACTGTACCCAGCTGATACACGTAGTGTTCAATGACTTAGGAAGCTTTCGGTTCGTTAGAGTTTGGCCTAGGATCTATATTTCGCGAACGCAAAGCGGAAAATGTGTTGCCCCCGAAACTCGGCGCTCTGGAAGGCCGCTTTCCCGCACGAAGGTCGGATCCAGTTCTGCGCACGTGACCTCTCCTCCGCCAATACGGAGATGGCGGCGAAAGGAAAAGGAACGCGATACCCTGGGTCTGCAAGCAGAGCCTATACAGTTACTCTAGGGGAACGTACGCCGGGGCGCGCGCGACGTCTTCTTTCCTGCCCGACACTTGATCCGGCTCCTCACGTGATTGGATCTCGGCGAATAGCGGCGCG